AAGCTTCCGAATCCGAAGCAAGCGATTTTGTCCGATCTGTCACATTCGTACATACACACATAGCGTTGTTGCATGAAGTGTAAGTCGAGTCGAGGTCGAAGGTCCGCGATCACTGCTCCCTATACATTATATCTTGCTGCGATGCCGACAGGGCGACTCATGGCTCGCGATGGTCTGTCGGGCTATGAGCTGAGCGAGTCGCGTGTGGAAATCTGATGAATCGACCTCAGCGTCGACATCCTCGGGTTTGAGATCGGGATGAGCCAGCAACTCGTGATCATATACGCGGTTCATGGCGATCATCGGTCTCAAGAGAGTGCTCATGTACTCCGCATCGAGATCTTCCGGGAGCGAGGCTCGATCCAGATCGATTTGTGCTCCGGCTATGATGTCCATCACACTGTTCCTCTTCTTCGCTCTGAGGGACCTGATCGTCCGCAAGGCCATCGGGGTTGAGTCCTTATCCGGCATCTTCGAGGCCGAAGTGCTTGATCACCGAGAACGTTGTAACCGGCACCTCCGCACAGAATCCTGGTCACGGCACCAAATGTTAAATTAGGATCGGATTGCAGGGCTGGTGGAGGTCTTGAACGAGCTGGTGTCGGTAGCCGGGCTCGAAGAGGGGCAGTAAAGGAACAGAAAACGGGGAATTTCGCGGAACAAGACACCCTCGCCGGTTAGATTATAGCCTTCACTTTCTGTGTGGTACACTTTTATTCCCTTCCGGCCACCAATCGTGGTTCCCTGTGGTATCACAATTCCATTTCGTCGAGTTCCTTCGTTCACCGAGGACAGATAGCGACTGTGATCCGATAGGCGAGCAGGCGGTCTTTAAAGAAAACAAGCGAGAGCGGTCGACAGATACTCGAGCGCCCTCACTTGTTGTTCTCCGCTGCACGAGTGCGCACGTGTCTTTGCGCGGACGTCAAATTTTCTCAAATAGTGCAAATTTGCGATTTTCACAGCTGGTAAGTCGCTGCCCAGTCTCTTCCAGGTTGAATATATGTATTTGTTATTTGATTATCAGCCAGGGGGCTCGAGGCCCCTAATACCAACAAATGTTGATGAGGACAACCTAGGTCCTACGATTTCCGGCTATATCCGATTCGCTTGTCGAATCGATGCCCTTTTCCTGTGCGAACTGGATGCCAGGTCGAGTACCTGATGCCACGGTGTTGCCGTGAAGACGAGCCATAAACTATATGCCTCGACGTGCGACGCACTGCACTGAGCTCTAAGCCTACGGGCCTCCTGCGCATAACTATCGCGCACTACTTGACATATTAAATCTCGATGAATTGTCTCCCAAACAGTCACCCCCTCGTACTGCTGGGGCTTTCTGAGACTACACGTTTGACGTCTACGATTTTACAGACAATGAGCGACATTCAGTTGTACGAAGAGGAGCTCGATCGAATTGAGGATGACGACGATGTGAGACTCGAGGATGCGGCTACGCTGGAAGCCAACTTCGTGAGTCGACTAGACTGGGGAATTTTCTCACTCTGTTTGGCTAAAACTCTCCGATATGAACATGATTCTTGACACCAGCCATAGCGGATCTCAAACTCATTGAATCCAGCTACGATGTCGCGAAGCAAACCCTGAAAGATCGTTTCGGCAAAGTGAGGGATGCTAACTCCGAACATGTGCTGGCAACCATGAAGATCCGCGGCCAGAAGGATCCAGAGCGACACGATAAGTTATTGTATTCCGCCACTCAGATCTCGACGAATATCAAAGCGCTCATCGCTCTAGGTAGTTCGTTTGAACTTTCTTCAAGGGAGAGAGACTTATATGCTTCTTATCTCTGTCTCTTTTGCTTCGAATCACTGCTGAAGAACAATCACCGGATCCTCTATGTTGTCGCAATTAGCTCGACTTTATTTCGGGCTTAACTCTCTGCTGACCGTTCCTGTCAATGTTCCGTCTCATGTCAAGTCATGTCCCTCTTTCCGGTTGTTTTTTAGCGTACTCTCTCCTAGTCGCCTGCGGCGGTTCGTTCGAATCGGCTCCTCCGAGCAACATTCTCCCGATTATTCGACTTTCCCCAAACAAAGAGAGCATGACAAGAAACGCGCGATGCGCCACAATTATTCAGATAACTCCTCACTAATGACGCTACATTAATTCAAAGGGATACAAAGGGGCTTATGGCTTATGGTGGGATAGTTTTCCCACTGGCCAGTCTCAATAGACATGAGTCATCACCAGTGACTGATAATCGGATCCTGTTCTTTAAAAGTACTTATTAACGATGGTACGTTATGACGACTCTGACTAACGTTGGAGGAGAAAGAAAACGCAAGAACGATCGGAAAACTCCGAGGCGGTTCCCCTGGATCGGGACGGTAGCGTGCAACGCGGCGTCCGACGATCGCGGTTGGATCGAGAGTGTGCGCTCCTCAGTCCCCGGAGACCGGCACGATCTCCGGGAAAGGAGGAACGGAGAAGAGAGGGAGAGGGAGCCGCCACGGAGATGTTTATTGGAAAACGTGCAGTGTGCACCATGAGCATCTAACTAACCGATGATATCGGTGGCACTCCCCCTGAACCTGTGTTAACATGAATCATGAATTATACATCGGGTCAAACAGCCTCTTTACACCTTGACCGTACAGCACTCTAGTGAAGATCGACACAGACGAACTGACCGTGCAACGGTCCGGAGGAGAGTCTTCGTGATGGCGCGAAATTACAAATGCTGGTAACATGATATACATAAGTCTATCCGGCACAGAGCAATCGAGCAACCGCGCGAACTTACAGGGCAGGGACATTCGCGGTTCTTCTTTCGCTGTGAACGGTGATGCCTCGTTATTGTTGTCGCGAAAACAGTCCTCGAGCTATCTGGTGGTGTTGGGCACGGTGTTTCGTCCCGGAAATATCGAACTTAGACGAGGCGGAGCAGGACCGCTTTAGTTACGTGGTGTGGGGGGCCCTGAGGCCCGAAGACCGGAGGTGGGCGCAGGAGGCGTCCCGAAACATTCGGTACGAGAGTGATCCCGCCGCAGCGTTGAGAACGCTCGTGGGTGTACTTGAAGCGTTGGGCCGATCGTCGGCGAGCGGAAACACCACCCCTGGGTGGACCAGCTACCCCCGATAGGTGAGAGAAAATTGCGATATTTTTAACGTAGGGAGAGAGTTAACTAGAACTGTCGAACCTCGAGAGGGTACAATAATTGTATGGGACGTCTGAAGACTTGGCCTGATGCTGTTTTGACTAAACAAGACCTCCGACGACCGTCGGTACCCTGCCCGCCGAAAACCTCCTGGACTACGCAGAGCGGCCAGAAAGCACGGGAGGCGTCGGCTGAGTGCAGCAGACATACGTCGCCCGGCTGAATAGGCCGGCTGTCCTCATTTTTCCGGTAGTGCGCGGACCTGAGATACTGGAGGTAGTCATTGTGGAATTGTTTCCAGAAGCCGCGCAGAGCTGCCTGCTGATTTTTCCAGCGCTCTGAAAACACTATCGCGTTCGCCGACCGCACTGTGTCTGCTACCCGTTTCATGTCCGGTAGAGCCGGCTGAGAGGCATACCCGTACAACAGGTCCGACGGCGACAGCGCTCGCGGCTCGCTAGGGTCGACTACGACCGCCGAAATCGGTCGATCATTGACCATTTTTTCAATTTCCATCAGTACGGTTTCCAGTTCTCTGAATGGTAAGCAGCGCGATCCCAGAATTTTGCGCAGGGGTCTTTTGACCACCTGAACGAGTCGTTCCCAAAAGGCTCCGGTCCAGGGGGCCTTTTCCGTGGAGTGAGTCCACACCAACTTTTTCCTGGACAAGAGATCCTGGGTGGCCGGGTGCTTACGATGCTCGAAAACTGCATCAAGCTCCTTTTCGGCCCGGAGGAAGGTGCGCGCGTTATCCGACACGAGCCGGGAGACCGAT